CACATATATATATAGTTGTTGATTGCCTTTGAGTCAAGCACAACTCATCAGTCCTATGCACAAAAGGCCTGAAACCCCTCTTCTACTATTGACATTTGTCAAAGTTCATAGAATTTCTGAAGGCATGTGGTTTAGGAAGTGAATACCAGTCCTGCATACACACAGACACACACACACACACACACACACACACGTGTGTGTTATGTACAGAGAGCCATGGTGGCAGGATCCTTGGGAAATTTCCCTGCCGATCCAAAGGACATGCCTCTCTGTAAACCCACTAGCTGCTCGGGAGAAAGATAGGCAATCACCTCCCATGGCATTTACAGCCTCTGAAAACCCAATGATGTGTCAGATACAAGACAATTCCAACTTGACAGCACAGAACAACAACCACCTGGCATGGTTTTCCTTTAAGAATGTCTTGCTTAGAACATGGAAACAGCCCCAATGTCCAACCACAAACAATTGGATTGAGAAATTATGGTACATTCACACAGTGGAATACTACGCAGCGAGCAGGAGCGATAACTTTGTAAATTATCACCTAACTTGGGAGGGACTGGAGAGCATTATGCTGAGTGAACTAACTCAGTCCCACAAGGACAAATATTGTATAAAACCGTTACTGGAGAATGAGTATAAGGATCCAGGAGGGGTGAGAGAGGCTGGAAGCAGAGGGATGTGGATGTGTAGGGGGAAAGCGGGATTAATCATTGGGTTGTACAATTTGATGGATTGCGGGGTGGGGAAAATGGAAATAATTTGTTCGAATTTGGTTTTGAATTTTGTAAATAAAGTAGTAGAAAAAAAAATTTTTTTTTAAAGAATGTCTTGCTTGTGTGGTGTCGCAAGCCACACCCCAGCTCAGCCCTCCTGTGTCCCCAGGCGCGCGCGTGTGTGTATGTGTGCGTGTGCGTGCCCTGCTGCGGCTTTGTCTGCGCTTTTGTGTTCAGACAACAGAGCGGAGGCCAAGCGTGTGCTGATCCACCCCGGCTCATTACCCATCTGCAAACAGACCCTTCAGACGCTCTGCACCTGCTCCCCGGGTTTCCCAGACATCCCGGCAGGTGCTGGGCTGTGGAGAGAAAGGAGAGAAGGCACAGGCTGCCGCCAGCTCGGCAGCTGCCCGCCCACCCCGCGCCCCACCTCCTGCGCCCCACTTCTCCCAGCAGCAAGCCAAGGACAGGACGAGAATACAGCCAGACAATGCTCATCGCTCTCTGCCACGCTGGCCATGGCGGAGCCAGAGATGGGCGAGGAGATCAGCGTCATTGGGGCTAGTGACTTTGCAAAGATCGCCCTCTTTCTGAGTCGTCCTCCTGGACGGTCGGATCCAGGACACCCCCAGACCCGGCCTCTGGTTCGCTTTGACCCCTCAGAAAGTTATTCCCATCCCCACTGTCACAGCCCAGCCATCCCTCCACCACAACAACGCAAAGCTCTTGTACTGAGGACAGTTTGCAGCAGATAAAGGCATTTGCTGCTGTTGTTAGATGCTGTAATGTCAACTATGACTTATCCCAAGCCTGTGAACACTAGATCTGAGCCTTGTGCTGTTCTGCACCATTCCCCGTTTTGTGAGCATTGGTAACTGCATCCCAAGCTCTGCACTAAATGGTATAAATGTAATAGAGAAGCACTTCGGCCTCGGCTCCTGGAATAATCCCGATTTTATGAACAAGTAATTTCTATATGCTCTGGTGGCTTAATGGTAAGGAGTTGCACTGCCAACACAAAGGCATGCAGTTCAAATCCATCATCCCTCTATGAGAGGAAAAAGATGAGCAATCTCCTCCCTTAACCTCTCTCTCTCTCTCTTTCTCTCTCTCTGTGTGTGTGTAACATAGTGTAACAGGAAGCCCTGGGCTCTAGTGGCATAATCTTTAGGAAGTTGGGGTGCTAATCCAAAGGCCATGCCCCTCTGCAAACCCACTAACTGCTCCAAAGGAGAAAGATGGGCAATCTCCTCCCATGCAATCAACAGCCGCTGCAGGACCCGCCGGAGGGCCAGCTATGAGTCGCTTCCATCTCCACGGTTCACAGCAATAGCTCTTAACTGCTTACTCACTGTCTCTCATCATGTTTCCAAGGCTGTAAATCTGAATAGGAGGGAATGACCCTTCTTTCCCCTGAAGAGCCACTGGTGCATTCGAACCACTGGAGAAGCAGCAGATAGCAATGCAACACACTATCAACTATGGCATCAAAGTTCTTTAGAGACAAGGAAACAGGGGCAAAATGGACACAGCCAGAAGATAGCAGAGCCAAGGTTCAGCCCCAGCGGGCTACGTCCAGATCCACATCTGAAGAGCCGTCTTCGCAGGCCGCTCCTGCTCCATCTTCCCAGGCTCCCAGACTCCGGGGCTTGCCTGTGCCTGCAGGTGGAAGGCAGCCCTGCCGCCAGCTCTCTACAGAACAGAACGTCCTTTATTTATGAGCTGCATCTGGGCTTCCTGCAAGTCAGTCATGAGCGCCGCAAGGCCTGCTGGAGGGAAGCAGAGGGCTGTGAAAACCAGAAACGCTTCCAGGAGCAGGCAGGGAGAGGGGGCAGGACACCAGGCAGTCTGCAGCAAAGGCACCCAGGGCATCCTGCAGAGCCCAGAGTGGGGCTGAGGACAAAGTTATCTGTGCTTAGGATGCCCTGGTCTGCCCTGGCCAGCAGCAAAGAGCCCTGCAGACAGAACGATGGCAACTAGAATGAGCATAGGTATTAATTGAAATGAGAACTGAGGCACAAATGGAGACTTGTACACCTATATTCGTAGCAGCATTATTTGCCATCTCAAGGACATGAAAACAGCCCAGATGTCCAACCACAATTGAATGGATTGAGACATCATGGTACATTCACACGATGGAATATTACACAACACGCAGGAGCAACGATTTCATAAATTACTACCTAACTTGAGAGGGACTGGAGAACATTATGCTGAGTGAATTAGCTCAGTCTCATAAGGACAAATATTGTATAAGATCATAATTGCAGAATGAGTATAATGATCCAAGATGAGGGGGATGGTAGAAACAGAGGGGTGAGGATAAGTGGGGATGGGGAACATTAATCATAGGGTCACACAATTTGGTGGGTGGAGAAGGGGGAAGGAAATGGGAAAGATCTGATGTGAAAAACGATGTATCCGAACTTTGTAAATAAACCAATATAAATTTTTTAAAGTATTAAGTAAACATCTTCTCAAATTCACACAAAACTATGCAAGATTTATTTTTCAGCAAAGGAAATAGTCTTTCAGAAGTGAGGTGATCTTGCCTTCTGAATGTATCACCCTGCTCTTCTCACCCCTCCCAACAAGAGGAGAGAGTAAAGGTGCTTTCCAAAGATGCCCTCGGCAAAACTGGAAAATTAAATGTGGACCCTCTCTCTCTCATTGCCCTTGAGTTGTAAATAATTGGGGATGAAGTTACTCATCTCTCTCGCTTGAAACTGCTGGTGGATTTGAACCATCAAAGACAGAGAGATGGTGGCCTTTGAATCAGCAGTATAGTTCCCTCATGACTATGCTGCCAGAGATCTCAAATGTGAAGAGTGAAAAATGAGGTCCAGAAGAAGGAACATGGCCTCAGAGATTACGTTCCTCCTCCAAACGCCTGCCACATGATCCTTTTTTTTTGGCTAATGGTGACGAATACATTGGTTTCAAGCATCCTAGCAGCCAATGCAAAAAAGGGAAAGCAAATAGTTTCATAAACTCTCACTGTCTCCAAAGAGGCACATGCTGCAGTCGACACTGTTATTAGTTCCCTGTAGTTGCTATAACAAATTATCACAAATTCAGTTGCTTGAAACAATAAGAATTTATTCTCTTATTGTTCTGGATGTTGTAAGTCAGACATGAGGGTTAAAACCAAGGGGTCAGTGGTACTGGTTCTGCTGGGAGTTCCACAGGCCCATTCTGTCATTGAAAAGCTGGTATTCTGCTGTCTGGTGCCAGAAAAATCAATCCCGGAGACAGAGGTTGGAGTCGGGGAAGCAGAGGTTTTATTATATTCCAGTATGGTATGTAGGTGAAGAGATAAGAGCATCCCAGCATCCCATATCTGTCCCGATGTCTTGGGGACTGGTGGTGGTGGTGGTGGTGGAGTGTTGTGAGGGAGGAGGTAGAACAATGGAGTGTGATGTTTTTATAGTCTCTTCTGGTCAGTGTCCATGTCTGAGACTATGTGGTCTCATCCATATTCCAGAGAGAGTTTTCATTGTTCACATGTTGTGACAAAAGGATGGTAGTTCCTATTGTCCTTTGTTGGGTTTCTGGAGGCTGGAAAGGGAGGAGACTGCCCATCTTTCTCCCTCTGAGCTGCTGGTGGATTTGAACCTGCAGAGAAAGTACTGCCTTTGGGTTAGCAGTGCAACTCCACCAGAACTGCCTTTGTTTTATATTAATCTGCCTTTGTTTTATTTCTCTCTCTCTCTCCTCCCTCCTTCCTTCCTTTTTTCCTTCCCTCTTTCTTATTGCTTTCAAGTCTGAACCAACTCATAGCTGACCTCCAGTGTAGTTTCAGAGACTGGAAACTGCACAGGATGAGACTGTCCATCTTTTCCCCTCAGAGGATTTAATGGATTCAAACCACCTGCCTTTGACTAGGCAGGCTAACTCCCTTCCCACTAGGCCACCAGAGTTCCCTTTTACAATGCTATTGCTGTGTACTGTAGTCATAACCAACCCAAGGCTGACCCTTCAGTGGGTTTTCAGAGGCAGTAAGTTGCATGGGAGGAGATTGTTCAGCTTTCTCCTGTGAAGCAGCTGGTAGATTTGAATTGTGCTCATGCTGAGCTGGTCAGTAACTGACGATGGTAGAAGAAGGATCGGTGCCTTTGAGTCGTGGTGCTGGAGAAGGGTGTGGAACATACAGTGGGCTGCCAAGAGAACAAACAGGTCTGTGCTGGAGAGGGTAAACCTATACTTGGACCGGGAAGCAGTAGTCAGAACAGAGCAGGGAAACACTGCATGGTTTAAGATCAGGAAAGGGGTGCATCCTATCTCGATACCTTTTCAATCTATATACAGAACAGATCATTCAGGAGGTTGGACTTTATGAGGAGGAATGTGGCGTCAGGATTGGAGGAAGACTCGTCAACAACCTGCTTTATGCAGATGACACAACCTTGCTTGCTGAAACTGAGGAGGACCTGAAGCACTTGCTGCAGAAGGTCAAGGACTGCAGCTCAACATCAAGAAAACAATGATTCTCACCACTGGGCCGATTAGCAGCATCATGATAGTGAAGAGATTACTGTTTACAACTTCAGTTTGCTGGGTTCCACAATCAACACTCTTGGCACCAGCCGTCAAGAAATCAAAACACAAATTGCATTGGGAAACTCTGCTGTCAGGGACCTCTCTAGAGTACTAAAGAGCATCAATGTCAATCTGGAGACTAAGGTGCACCTGATCCCGGACATGATCTTTGCAATTACTTGCTATGCATCAGAAAGTTGGACAATAACTAAGGGTGATAGAAGAAGGATCAATACCTTTGAGTTGTGGTGCTGAAGAAGAGTGTTGAACATAATGTGGACAACCAGAAGAACAGGCACTTCAGTCCTAGAGAGGGTGAAACTGGGCTGCTCCCTGGAGGCAAGGATTTTGAAGCTCCTTCTCACATACTTTGGGCACGTGGCCAGGAGGAACTACTCCTTGGAGAGGGACCTCATGTTTGGAAGGGTGGAGGGACATGGCAGGAAAAGACCACTCAGGATGAGATAGATTGACTTAGTGATTGGAGAAATGGGATTACGTCTGTTGAAGACAATGAAATTGGCTCAGGATAGGGCAACGTTCAGAGCTATTGTACATAGGGTCCCTATAAGTCTCTGGTGGCTTGATGGCACATAACAACAACTTTTGCATTGTATCCATTTGTTCCACAAAAGAATCCTTTTCCTTGAGGTTATAAAATGTGAGTTTTCTGTTATTTTACTGTTGCAATTCCCTCTTACCCCTGTCATATCTGGTGTCCTCTCTGTTATGACTAAATTACTCGACTCAGCTTCCATTCTCAAACTGTTTTTCTTCTTCTGTTACCAAATCCCCCTCGGCCTCCCTCAAAAAGAGACACTTGTGATTACATGTAGGATTCATCCGGATAATCCCCATCCCCAAATCCTTAATCTGATCATATTTGTACACTTCACTCTGGCACATGAGATGACAGAGTATCAGTGCATGTTGTCAAGTCAGAAGGGACTCATAACTGACCTTCCAAAGAGTTTTAGAGTCTATCAACCATAATTTTGTGTTTTAAGCCCTCGGGCCAAATTAATTACTGTTGAGATGAACATTTTTTAAGTGGTACACCAGTCGTCTGTCTATAGTTATAGAAAGTCTGACGATAGTTCTAGAAAAGCATCAGGTCTTTTGTTTATAGAGTCACCATGAGTTGTGCTCAACTCGACAGCAATCAACAACAACACCAATCATAGAGGAAGGGATTGCCGACCTTTCTCCCTCGAAGAAGCTGGCAGATTTGAATTTCCTGCCTGGGGACTGGCAGCACAATTTCTTATCCGCAAGGCCACCAGGGCAGGCCATTTATTCTGCTCACGGAGACACACAGCTATGACTGTTACTGAGAATACAGGAGATTCAGGCCCTAATCTGATCTTCCAGGAACTGCCTCATCAACCCCTTTCCCAAACTCTCTGGGTGGGGCTGGGAATTATCCCCCAGTTTCTGGGAAGCTGCGTTTTTTACATCTCACCACCAGAGGCCAGTGTGGGGCAGGTCTCGGGAGCCTGGAGGTCTGGACGTGAACAACCCAAATGTGTCAGGGTCCAGCCTTTGGTTAAATCCCAAGAAAGAAAGGGAGCTCTGGTGGCCTAGTGGCAGGAAGCTGCACTGCAGTCCCAGAGGTTCGCGGGGCAAATCCATCAGATGCTCTGCTGGAGAAGGAGGGACAATCTCCTCCTGTACCAGTCAGATCCAATTTGGCGGTACACAGAAAATTTAAAAAAATTTAAAAAAAAATCCCAAGAAAGACATCGGTCCCACACGTCTCATGGGGTTGAGGAGTACCTGGGGCAAGTCCCAACTCTATTTTGGGCTCTCTGTAAGCTTGAGCACAGCCACTTGCCTGCCTCAGGCTCAGTCTTATCTGAGCAAGGGGGAGGCTAGTAACGGCTGCTGGCAGAAGAGTAAACTAGGGCAAGGACATGACACGGTCATGGTCACAGTCAAAGAATGGCGGACTAAGAGAGCCTGAGCTTTAGGAGAGAAATATAACTCCTCCTTTACAATTCCCAAAGCTGCATCGTCTACACCCAAGGAAGCAGCAGTCAAGAAATCAAAAGGCGCTCGTCATTGGGCAAATAGAAAGTGCTAAAGAGCAAAGATCTCACTTTAAAGACTAAGGTGTGCCTGACTCAAGCCATGATATTTTTCCATTGCTTCACAAATACGTGAAGCTGGGTAATGTATAAGAAAGACTGAAGACAAATTAATGTCTTTGGAATTGTGGTGTTGGAGATCAATATTGAATACGCCATGGACAGCCAAAGGAAAAATGGACCACTGGAGCAAGAGGCAACATGATAGATGAATAAAGATTGAAATTGTTTGGGGGGGGGGAAGAGAGGAACGAACTGGGGGGAGGGTAGAGAAAATAATGCAACAATGAATGAATGGAAATCCAAAATCTCTGTAAATGTTCATTAAAATTAATAAAATAAAATTTTTTAAAAAAGATTGAAATTGTCAAAGATTTCCTTTTAATTGAATCTATAATCAATACCCACGGACCACAGCAGTCAAGAAATCAAAAGACGTGTTACATTGGGAGAATCTCCTGTCAAGGACCTCTCCAAAGCTAGAAGGCAAGGATGTCAGTTTAAAATATGCCTAAATCACCACTAGGCCAATTGGCAGCATCAGTATGGATGGTGAAGAGATTGAGATAGTTAACAGTTTCCGTTTACTTGGCTCCATAGTCAACTCTCTTGGTAACAGCAGCCAGGAAATCAAGAGATGAATTGTATTGGGAAAGTCAGCTGTGAGGGACCTCTCAAGAGTACTGAAGAGCAACGACGTCAGGCTGGAGACTAATGTGTGCCTGATCCAGGCTATAGTCTTTGTAATTACGTGCTATGCATCAGAGAGTTGGACAGTGAATAGGGATGATAGAGAATTGATGCCTTTGAGCTGCAGTGCTGGAAAAAAGTGTTGAATATCCCATGAACTGCTAGGAGAACAAACAGATTTGTCCTGGAGAGGGTGAAGCCAGAATGCTCCTTGGAGTCAAGGATTCTGAAGCTTTGTCTGACATACTTTGAACATGTTGCAAGGAGGGACTGGTCCTTGGAGAGGGACTTCATGTTTGGGAGAGTGGAGTGACGGCGCAGGAGAGGAAAACCCTCGATGAGATGGATCAATTCTGTGATTGGAGTGGTGGAAATGAGTGTGTCTGAGACAGTGAGGTTGGCATAGAAAAGAGCGGCATTTAGAGCTCTTGTACATAGGGTCGCTATGAATTGCAAGCAACTCGATGGCACATAACAACAACAACAACAATATGTTTTGTAAAAAAATACTGCATAGTGCCACTGTTAGAAAAGAAAACTGACACAGGGGTTGAGGGGAGACTGAGAAAGAGGGGATAAATTATGTATACTGCATTGAAACAGATAAGGGCGAGAACTGTTTAAAAGGGATATATGATTAGGTA